AACAGTTGATGACAAGTAGCTGCTGACTTGGTGTCTACAGCAATCCATTAGAAAGAAAATGGAGCCACTTAACTGCATAGCAACATGAGACTGAATGAACACATTATAGTCTATCTGTACGACAAAACAGACCACCATCATTAAAATCTATACTGTAGAAAAATATTCATCGATAAGGAAAGCTTCAAAGTATAATGAAACACAAGTCTGGCAGGTGGTGGCACTGACTGCCAGCTGTGGCCCAGATCACAGATGCTGCCCTTGAGTAAGGAGCAGGGGAGGGGGAGGAGCAGAAGCATCAGAGCAAAACCTCAGAGCAGTGGAGACTGTCACACAACATCCTAAATGGCATGGCTTGAGCTGACTGTGAGGGGTAGAGGCAAGGGCATGGGACCCACCTGGATGGTCACATTCATGAACTCTAGCACAGGTCTGGGTACACTCAGGGGGCCTGGTACCACAAGGAACTGGAGGGTAGATCACTGATGCGCCACAGTGGCAGCTTAATTCATCAAAACCTGGTGGAGCAGAGGGTGAAACAAAATAACCCTTCATGAATCTGGGGTATCCAAGCATATATTTATACACTCACACATTTCCCCCCCCCCCTTTTTTTCTTTCAAAAAAGGTTTTTTTTTTTTAAAGTTGAGCTAGTGACAAAACAGCAGACACATACAAAGTGCTGTTCTATTTTCACCTGCAATGAAATCTAAGACCATGACTAACACAAGACATGTATTTTATAAATAACAACTCCACAGACTGTCTCTTTTTGGGAAAAAAAGGGGACTTCCTCTAAAGATATAGTTCATTTTTTTGGTAAACTCCTTTGGTTAGGAAAACGGACAGATTATGAAAGTCACAAGAAATCAATAAACACAAAATACACATTTGAATTAAAATCTCAGAGAATCATGAAGCCATTTAAGAAAATGCTTATTGGTATAATCAACATCCATCATGCTAAAAACACAAAGCTGAAATGAAGCTCAGAGATATACCTGAGTTCACTAGGCACATTCATAAGCCAAAGCAAAATGTGGGGTGAACAAAGAAAGAATGTACAGATTTCTAAAGAAATTATTTCATCAAAGATTTTGTAAAGGTGAGAAGACTGGTATCTTTTGCAGTATAAA